TGCAGGGGGATTGCGGGGGGGGGGGGGTGTCCTCCTACCATCCTGCTTCTCCTGGAGAAACTGTGCTGGGTCGCCATGGCCATCCAGGTGACCAGGACCAGAAGGACGCAGGTGTACAGCACCCAGGGGCTGTCCCAGCAGGCACGGAACCAGCTCTGTGTGATCCCCATCCTCGTGCTGGGGAGGACGGTCTGGACACTGGGCTCCCTGCTGGTGTTGCCACTGGATCTCTCCCGAGAGGCTGTTTGTTCCAGTGACGCATCATAAAGGGCCAGGACCAGGCGGGTCCTGACATCACAAAGGGACTGCATGCATCAGAGGTGAGCAAGATCCTCAGCTCCCTACAGCCCCTCCCCCGTGTTAGGGGGCTTATGTTTTTACCCTTTTACTTTCCTGGTTCTTCTCCCATGAACAGAGCAACAATACCCGAAGTTCAAAGGCGCAAACAATGTGATGTTTATTGGGGTAAACTTTTAGCGAGCATCATTTTAGTTGCCGTTCTATTTTCAGGTACCGTGGTAGCTGTTACACAGGTGCTGGCCTCCTCGTTGAGCATTTTGCGTTTTCGTACACATTTTCCACCCCTGTCAGCCTTTTGAAGCCACCCCCCACCCACGTCATGCTAGCAACAAGACAAACACCACAAACAACGCAAAACACAGATTCATAGTATTCTGGGTTATTCTTTCGCTGGCGCCAGCATGCTTGTAGAGTGTCTGAAAAACAAAAGAAACAATTTTTACCCCCTTTGGTGGGGACAGATTATTGCTTAATAATAATACCAATTCCTTTTACAAATTTCCTTGCTAATTACAGGAAAAACAGAAGAATTACCTTTAGACTGTTCTTGTTTTGTTTTATAGTCAGGCTAGTGAATTACCCCACTCACTGGTCATTTATGAAATTTATGAGGTGGTGTGCCTCAGTTTCCCCTCTTGTACAACAGACCAGGTTTGCAATAGTTTTTTTGCTGTACCAAGCTTTACGTTTATTTTCAGGTAATAGCTGAGAGACAGCTTTAGATTTTGGGATGGGGACCCACCCACACACAGCCCTTAGGGTTAACCTGTCCCCTTTATTTTCAGGCTTGACTTGTTTTTTCACCTCCCTCTTCTGGAGGGCCATAATCTTTGTCTTCTAGTAGCTTGTTTGCTGGCCAGATGGATTTATTATTTCCAAATTTTTTGTGCTGCTACTTATGGGTAGTTTTCTTCTTCCCCCATCAGTTAGGTAATTTGCATTTACACAGAGGCTTTCTTGGTTTGTCTTAAAAGGGACACATTTCACTTCCACCAGAGTTCTGATTACTTTTCACTTTCATCTCCTGCTTTAAAACACACAGAGATTTGAAAAAGAAAGCACAATTTATTGTGGCTTCTTTTGGAGCCCTAATAGGATTTTAACTAAGTACCATGTTTTGTTTGCATTTCTTTTACCTCTTTTCCAATATACACTGCACATGTCCTGGGAAATAGTTTAACCTCCATAACATTATATTAGCTATATTAATTTTACACAAGGTGTAACTGCCTTCCCGTGCCCACAGAGTTTTCATGCACCCCCACCAAAGCGACAGTCCAATCCCCCAGAGCACCTGCAAGACTCAGTGTTCCCATCATTGCTCCCCTTTTCCTTTTCCTATGCATGCACAA